AAAAAAAGGTTCAAATAGTTTAATCCAGTCGTTTTGTTAGAAGAAACGACAAATAAATCCTCTAAAGTTCATCAGAGCAGAGACAAACACGTCATTTCATCTCCTGATGTAAGAAAACTGCAGCTTCTTTCCTGCCGTTTCCATCTGTTTGCATTGAAACGTAACAAATTAGAGGAACAGAGAAACACTTCCTCCCCTCAGAGGTCGTCTTGTCAGCTCAACGCCACACGTTCAATCAGCAGCCGAAGAGCTCAGACACAAGGAAAAGCCCCAGCACCCCCCCCCCCTCCTCCTCCCACCCCCCTCAACCAGAGATGGATTCAAAAAGAACACTAATCTTTAAATTCCAGATTCACAGACCTTTTGTCTGCACTGCTGGGGATTTGGCATCATCCCAAATGGGATGTAAATTCCACATGTGAGGTGAGGAGCTCCAAAACGAAAAAAACTGTAGAACACAAACATTAAAACAAATTACCTCTGATCTGAAGTGATTAAACTGAAACTTTCTCATCTAAGTGTTATTGATTATCTTATAAGGGTTCAGATTATTGTGTCTCCTCAGCAGCTGGAGGCTGCCGATTTGGAAAAGCTAAAGAATGTGCATCGATTGGGAATAATTAAATACGTGGTACAAGTTTTTCTAATGCATATTAAAAAAATCTGATTCGTGCTCCTTCAAAATAAAACTGCCATTTTCACAACGTATTCTCTGCTCATGATTCAGCACAAAGCAGTTGCTAAGTCGACCATCGTTGGACCAGCAGGGAGGAAAAATGAGCAAAAAGTTTTAATTGAAATCAGTTTTCATCTGCAAACAACAACAAAAAAAACAACTTCCAACACAAAGACACGATAAAAACACCTGCCATCATGTGATTGGGTGAAGAAAGGGGGCTCAGGAGGCTTCATTCTCTCCAGGGGCGCCCTTATCACTGCCTGCAGGACCCATGCCATTAACCTGGGTCTCAACAGTTAACTGAGCTCTGATTAGCTTTCTGATTTTACAGCACAGACACAGCAGATACAATCAGACAGGGTGCAGCAGCAGACACCAAGGCTCCTAATACTTTTCTTACAACATGACCAACAAACTCACAAAAAAAAAACATTAAATCAGCTCTTTAAATGTGAAAAGAATCCCCACTGGAGTCCGTCAGTGTTTGTCCTCTGGATGAAACAATAGACTCAGAGGTGAAACTGCTCAGAAGAACTGTAATTTGGTGCCAAATGATTTTCTGAGGGAGGTTTTGATGGGTTGGATAATTTAGAGCAGAACATTTTTCACATTTGCAGATCTGTTGCACTGCAAAAAACTGTCCACCTAACTCAATTTTTAAATCTTATATCAGCCAAAATGTCTTTTTGATCTTGTTTTGAGACTTATTTACTAAACAAGAACTGATTGTGTAAGAA